GTGGAACACTTTTGTTGCAAACAGAGTTTCACAAATACAAGAGACCCTACACAGAAGTGATTGGAAACACGTGCCAACAGAAGTAAATCCAGCTGATTTAGCCTCTCGTGGTGTATTAGCTGACACATTAATATCTTCCTCACTCTGGAAGTTTTCAAATTTTAAGTGGTAGTACCCCCATGACCCTTTTGAAAGTAGGAACCTAAATTACCCCCTATGCAATACATTATGGTCTGAATCGTTCATATTGACCACTTTCATGTAAATTCCCAATGTTGTAAATTCCCAGCATTAAAATTCGTATGAGGTTGTACCCTCATGACCCAAAATGTAATTATTGTCTGAAAACAGCTAGGACAAATTTTCGCTCATGACTCGTACCGTTAATACTTCACTTGTATACTCCTTACTTATGGTGCAGTCACATTTAGTTCATTTATTGAATAATTGTTTACATATTTACCGTTGAACAGTCATTCGCTGTCATGCGATTCGCTGTCATCTGGTCCTCTTCGCTTGTTGACCCTGCAGTGTTGCTGGCAGCGCTTCCACGCAGATGCTACCAAGGAAAGTCGAGTTTGCATCTCCGCATAGTACATGCAGCAGACCCTCTTTTCGTCGCAGAGAGTCAGAACTGCATGGCACCACGCATATGGAAGATACAAACTTTTCCCCTTCTCAAGAACACCATAGCGGACCAGTTTCTTCTGCTGAGATCCAAGGTTCCTCAGATACTTAGCAGCATCAGTGAACCCCATCTCCGAATCATTGCTACCAGCCAGTGCACAATGACCCTTCTACGCTGAGGTCACTAATACGTTTAAGACCTCTAAGTTGCTTCTAAAACAAAACAAACAATTGATGGACACCCGCTATACTCTACTACTATGATACAATGGAATAAATGCTACTCACAGTCTCAGCTTTCGGAAACCGCAGAACTGCCCTATCCACGATTGCAGCTTCCTTCCTTGAAGACTGGATCTCATCCAACGACTTTACAGGAATCGGAGTGAAACCCAGATCTCCTCTGGTCACTGCATCGAAGAAACCCTGCAGGTCCTCCCGGTCGACAGCGCCCCGCCTACTGGACCTTCGCACCTCGCCATGTGGAAGCAGACGTGGTGCTCTACCCGACTCCGCCCTACTCTTCCTCTCCTTCGTCTCATACACTGTAAATGGGTAGTCATATCCAGACATAATAACGATCTGAAAATTGAAGACACTTCAAGGGTGGCGGAATGTTGAAGCCTAAAAAAGACATCTCAGCTTTCTACTTGAACTAAATCTACGATTGAACTGATTTACTTATTTAAAACCGCATTTAACAAAAATCAATTGACTTCTATCTATAACTCATGAAATAATTTACACTTTGCGAATCACTAGTTTTATTCAGTCGGATTGGTGATTTTTCGTTTCCCAACTTTTGCTGCACAACAGCTTTCTGTACCGCAATTGTGGCAAAAATCAGCTTCGCTTCTCTGTAAAATTGTTCGCTCATCCCATTTTTTTCACCAGTTAATTCAAAAAAGTTTTAATCATCAAAGAATTTTGATAATGAAAGAGCTTTGAGCTGATGAATTTATCTTAGAAACACAAAAGTTTATCATTTTCGTTTTTTTCTTGTGTTGACTGGCTGTTCTTTAATTTTTGCGTAGTTTCTGTAAGTATGCGAATTTCATCCGTGATTTAGTTATGTTTAAAATATGACACGGAGACTGAGAATCTGAGGCTTTATACAACCTATGAATTTGAACTTAGTAATATGTTATTTGTTCTTATCAGCCTCAGACCTCAAACAAATTAGAGATAATCGAATTCAATAATGTAAGCAATTTTTTTTATCATGTGTCCGCAATCAATCACCAGCGAAACTATGCATGTTGGGTTGTGCTTTTTGACAATTTTTTGTCCATATGGAACAATCGGAAACCTTAAGCAAATTCCGACGACTTTCTTGACCATTTTTGAGCGGAAAGCCCTGAATTATATTATGACAAACAATTCATGAGTAGGTCAGAATATTTCGAACTTGCGGAAAAAAGCCAATGTTTCCATGTTTAGAATGTAGTGTTTTCCTGGTTATCATTCTGCCCATTTTGCTTGAAAAAGTGTCCAGAGTGTGCAGCGCAGCTCCGGCAGTGCCGAATTGTTCATCATTGTTTTCCGATAAATCCATTTTTCTTAATTTTTTTCTGACTATTCGGACCTTGACTCGCATCGTTTCTGATTTTTTTGTTGCCTTGTATCTTGTTTGTTGCCTTGTCTTCGATTAACGTTAATTAGCGATAAAAATGAAGTTAGCTTGCTCGATGTTGCTAGCAGTAGCGTAGCGAGGTTCAGACTAGCGAAAAGCGATCTGGCGGCTAGCGAACAATCACACCACTGATTAACATGTCGGGCTATTTTCAAATTCTTTCCCTGTAATTCTTGGACTTTATTTTGGGCCACTCTGCTTTTGTGACATACTTCTCAAGTAATCGCGGTTTAGAGCCTTCAGGATTTTCAAATAGCCATAACCACGGTTGCTTAGATGTCATTGACAGTTTTTCAACTGTCTATCGGCCATTTGGTTTAGTTTTCTTTCAACGCCAAGGTGGCGGCTTAGTTCGGCTCAGACATTTTTCAAATTGTATTGAGGTTACGTTTCTACAATTGAGAAAAAGTGTCTTGTAATTGGGAACTGAATTTTTTGCCGTAAACAACTTTTTACACTTGCGAGCCAGCGATTGTAGTGTATTAGTACGAACCTTCTTTTTTTCCAAACTAACTCGCAAATAAGTGTTCCTTAAAAGTGTTCACTGATTTGGCTATAATCACGATCTGGAGCATAGAGAATTTCAGAGCATCTGTTATCTGTTTTTATTTGCGGCTAGTGTTTGTGATTAATCAAGCGTCCGTAGCTGAGTGGTTAGTGCATGAGACTCTAAATCTCTAATTCACAGATGGAATCCGAGACATAGGCGAATTTTTTTGATAGTAATTCGAGGCTCGTTTTTACTTCTTATTGCATTTAATAGAACTGCTTTTATTTCGGGTTCTCGTAAGTGTTCGCGAAGCATAGCTTCGCCTCTATTACTTTATACTGGCAATTATTTAGTAGCAGTGTATTAGTAGGAACTTTCTTTTTTTCTAACCTAACTAGTAAATTACAGTGTTCATTAAAATTTTCCTATGCTGTAACCACGATCTGTAGCAAGGAAAAGATCATATCATCTGTTCTCTGCTTTATTTGTGGCTAGTGTTTCTGGTTTATTAGCGTCCGTGGCTAAGTGGTTAATGTGTGCGACTCAATAATCTCTAGGTCGCAGATCGAATCCTAGACGTAGCCGATTTTTTTTTTCAATTTGAGGCTTATTTCTTCTTTTGTATTGCTTTTCTTTTTATAGAGCTGCTTTTTGTTGTGTTCTCGCTAGTGTTTGAGAAGCGCAGGTTCGCCTCTGTCTACAAATTTTCAGCTTGCTTTACTGGAATCTTAACAGTTGCAGGTTTTTTTTCGAACTTGGCCTAGAGGTAACGCGGTCGCCTTTTAACCCTGTGGTTCTGGGTTCGAATCCCGACCGTACCTTGTTTTTTTAGCATGAGGGCAATTGAAAAAACTTTTCCGGTTGAAATTAAGTTTCGTCTATCTGGTCAGGTTTTGTCGGCTTAGTTGCTACATCCACAAATTTGTCTGATACTGTAAGCAATCATCATGGTAGTTGCAAGTGTTGTTCATTGTTTTTTCAGGGGTGCTTGAAAGCTTAAAACGTTTTTTTTAGAAATTCATTTTTATCGACTGTCTGCTCAAAAAGATGTCGGCTTTTTTCGTTTCGTGATTTTTGTTCCGTTGCTAATTTAAAGTTCGAAATTTTTGCATGACAGGTTTGCCTAGGTTTCCTGTTTGATAAGAACAGGTTTTGTATGGAAAATGTATGGGATCGGTCTTTTATAATTTTTTTTAAAGGTTTCAGAATTTTTCCCCGTTTTTTGCGAAAGTTTTAGTTTTTTTCTCAAAAAGAAGTGAACCAATTTCCAAAAAAGGGGTATTAACAGAACTGTCTGCATGCAAACTCTCCCTGTCTTTTTTTATTTCACCCCTGTCTCAGCCCAAAAAGTTATTGTCCTCGGAAAAGTCTCATTAGTGACTTTTTGACCGTTTTTGAAACTTTTTGATTATTCTCGTAAACTACCCTGCTAAATCTGAGATTTTGCGTGCAATCAAAAGAAAAGAATGCGTGAAGCTCCCCAGTATAATCGGCATGCTTCCCAGAAAAGTCTGTTTGAAACCTTTGCAGTTTGATTTGTGCGTTTTTTGAAACATTTTGACCTTTCCGAAAACTACTCAGTTAAATCTGATATCAAATGTTTTAATGAGGCATCAGATTGTCGGAAGCCTCTTTGCGTTAACAACTGCGCGTTAAAATTAGTACGAAAATGTTTTGTCAAAGAAAATTTCAAAGAGTAGCAACTAAGGTTTTGGGTGAAGCCCAGTTTTTGAATTTATCTATCTCCAGCATCAGTATAACAAATTCAAAATTTATCCAACTGGTACCTAGTTACGCATTTCTTCTCGCATCAGTGTAACAAATTCAAAAAATATCAAAGACGTACCTTGAGCTTAAGCTGGGCCCCTTGTTGTCTTTTATCGAGGCTTACGAAAGTTTTGGTTCACCTAGTTTTATTTCAAGTTTTTTCATTTTTTACTCATGTTTTTGTTTCTGTTGTATCGCAAATGGTGCGCTTAGAATGAGATTTTTAAAAACAGTTTGATATTTTTTGGAAATTTCTTTGTTGTAGGCGGAGAACATATTCTGATGTTTTAATTCGTCCATTTCTAAACTTTCAAGGCACTAAAGTGACCGTTTACCTTTCGAAAGAATACTTTACCAATAACTCACTTATGTGCTTTAGTTACGAAAATGCATCTATAATTATTGAAATTTGCTATCTTCAGCTCATATGAACAGCGTCGACCAAATAATGATCTGACTGAACTGTAATTTTTTGTTATTTAGATGCCGTACAAGTTGCACGCAGTGCTTGTGCACGAAGGAGAGGCACTTTCGGGTCATTACTGGTGCTTCGTGAAGCAGAGGGTGAGCGACTACAGCAACGCCCAAACGCCCGCTTGGCTTAAGTTCAACGACACCCAAGTCAGTTGGGCCGACAAGTCTCACATGCAGACGGAGTCCTTCGGAGGAGGCAGTGGCAGAGTTGGTGGCAGTGATAGTGGGACGCAAAAAGGCTGCCGCCAATTGTCCTGCAGCGCATACTGCCTCATCTACATCGACACCGCGTCCAATGACATATTTGGTCAGCTCATTTTACTATACATACCTGGGTCCAGTGGTACTGTTTTCTCGCGGTGGACCCGACGAGTGACTACAGCCGTAGCAAATGCTGTTTTTGGGAGCGCATCAAGCATGCTCGAACCGGGTTTTTGATTTCGGAGCAATCAAATTCGGTTGGGATACTCCGTCTGTTAATCCTCATCTTACTTTTACGTGCCTGCATCAATTTCAACCCTGGTCCTTATGCCTGTTCCGCATGTAACTCAAAAGTTGCACGCACTTAAGCTAGTGTGCGGTGCCATATATGCGGATAGTTTCACTCGCGAACTTAAAGCAACACCATCGAAACTTTAACTGCCCCACCTGTACAATTAACCACATCCTACCCCACCCAGTATCTAACTCCCCTAATAGACAAATGACGAAAGTCAACGTGTTACTTAGTCCCTAGTTAATAGCCCACCTATTAACCAAAGCATTACCCCATATCCTAAAGACCCTCTCACGGGAAATTACTCCACGCGCTAAATTCCTCAACTTTTTTTCAGCTTAACTGTATTGGCTTATCCGGGCAAGCGCCCGACATAGCAGAACTTATCTGCTAATAACAGGTATACATTGCTGTTTTCCAAAAAATAAAATTAACTGGAAAAACCGCACTCCCTCGTTTGATCCAAACTACACAGTAATAAGAAAAGACCGCTCGTGAGAGAGAGAGAGAGAGAGAGAGAGAGAGAGAGAGAGAGAGAGAGAGAGGAGGCCTCATAACTGTCATACGTACATCGCTTATGTACGATGATTTACAAATCTTTAAAGACGGGACTTCGGAGGCCCCGTTTTTTGAAATACTGGCAAATAACCAAAACCTCATTTTTTTTTACAAGTTTTTAGATCCCCGCGCAACAGTTGCGCAAAAACTGGAAGGCCTCAGGTGCTCAAATACTCACTGAAGATAATGCAATTGTCATTAGAGACGCTAATGCCCACTCACACCGTGGTGTTCTTTAAGTGCAAAAATCACGGACTCAGTTTTTACCCTATTAAATTACCATAATCAGACCCACCTACCTCTCTCTCTCTGTCTCTCTCTCTCTCTCTCTCTTCTCTCTCTCTCTCTCTCTCTCTCTCTCTCTCTCTCTCTCTCTCGGGTATTCGCCCTGTTAGGGTCCCCCATGTCGCTTTCTACAGCTCCTGGTCATATGTCTCGCTAGGTTGGTTGCGGAGATCATTTTATTGCACAGTGGACATTCCTTTGTTGCCGGGACGTACTTGGTAGGGCTTGTTGTTCCTCGACATTTCTTCTCGTGGTTCTTCAGGTTTGTTTTCGTTGGGAATTTGGCGTGGCATTTGATGCACGTATGTTCCACGTTGTTCTCTCTGTGCATTCTTCTTATATGCACTGCCCGACCAGCTCTAGATTTGCAGACTTTCTCGCAGTGACTACACACGAGATTGACGCTTTCCTTTCTTTGTGAGCGTTCTATCTTGCCTCCTTCCCATCCATTCTCTTGGGATTCCTCCCATCTTTCCAGATGTGTCATTCTGTTCTTTATAATCGCTTTCCCTTGCTTTCTGTCTTTTGCCATCTCTTCGATATCTAGTTGGTCAATTCCTGCTTCGCACATCAATTTGATCCATTGTCTGGGAGTGCAACGGTACTTCGCTCTCGGTTTTGCAGTTTTTTCTAACTTGCTTAACAAGCCAAAAGTTACGTGCTTCACTCTTCTGTCGTCGGGCATACATGTCATATGTCCTAGGCGTTACGTACTCCGTTTTTCGATTTTAATTCTGACTGATTTTAATCTGAGTTCTTTCCTTACATTCCATGTGTTTTTGTTCCATTTCCTTCAGCGGTGGTTGGGTTTTGGAACTCCATACATAACGGTAACATTGATCTACTTTCCTTTGGATTCTGTTTATTTCTGACACATTCCAGGTACGTACTTGGCAGTTGTTCAACACGGTGCTTTCCACTACTGCCTCAACTACACGCGCTTGCGTTCTTTTAGTTAACCTTGAGTTTTTGAGGCGTCTTTTGACCTTTGTCCACGCTCCCATCCCGCGTTGTAATCGTACTCTTGTGTCTTCAGCTTCTCCCAGCCAAAGGCCCAAGAATCTGGTTCCTGCCGCACTGATTTCACCCAGAGTTATGTTTTCCTCTTTAGATGCGTTTGTCTTCTCTTCGAAGAGGCCCATTACTTTGGTGGTGTCTCTTGCGACATCCATACTTTTCTTGTTACTCAAGATAGTAGTGTCATCAGCGAACAAGGCGTATTTGAGGTCTATATGCTTCGCTTGAGCATTTTGTTTGTCTCTCCTTTGTGTCATGCAGGTGTTTCCAGGTATGTAAGTAATTCTTATACCATTGTCTTCCCTTTGTTTTTCTGCTGCTCTTATTGTGATCTGATGAAATATGTTGAAAAGCATTGGGGAAGAAGGACATCCCTCCCTCAATCCTCTTTGAGAAGTCCATTCGGAGCTAACTTCCTTATTGTCTTTCACTTTGTAAGAAGTTACTTCGTGTAGGTCCTTTAATCGTCCTAGGAAATTATCTTCGAACCCAAAACTTTCCAGTATTTTCCACAATAGTGGCCGATTGACTCTTGGATAGGCTTTTCTCAGATCTAATAGACACGCTCGGTCTCTGTTCAAACTTTGTGATTCGCATATCTTTCGGTTATCTTCCTGTAGTCTGACCATTATTTGGGTGGTGTCGGCTGTAGATCTGTGTTGTCCAAAACCATCTTGATTATCATCTAGGGCGCCAAATTCCTCGCTCCAATCCCGGAGTCGTGTTGTTAAAATTCTAGCGAGAAATCGGCTAACCATGGATAACAGGCAAACACCGCGGAAATTATCGGGGTTGTCCTTCGCTCCTTTCTTGTGCAGTGGAATAATGAGTCCCACTTTGACTATATCATCCCAATATTCCGCTGATGTGGTGAACATGGTTTGTATCACTTTTACTATTCTCTTTTGGAATTCTATTGGAGTTGACTTAAGGTAGATCATTCGGATGTCGTCCTCGCCCGGTGCTTTTTCCTTAACCTTCGCCCACTCTTTCATAATTTCTTCTTCTGAAGGCATTGTACTGCACTCCTTGGCCATTTGACGTCCCTCTGGTGTCGTTTGAGCGAACTCTCGTACGATCCTCCTCGACTGGATCTTCTCTGTCAGTCCATTTTCTTCGCGTTTTTCTTGCACTTTCTGGAAGTGTTGCTTAAAAGTTTCCGGTGGGATTACTGTTGCTTTAGAATTAGGTACTGCGTAACCTCTAATTCCTAGCTGCTTGAGGATGCTGTACATCTCCCCGATGTCTTGCCTACGCATAGGTTTCTCGCATTTGACTAAGAGAGCTTCCCACCATTCTGTTTCCCTATCTCTGAGTCTCTGTTTATACTCGTTTCGTACTGTTTTAAGCTCTTCCCTGGCGTTGTGCCTTTGCGCCTCGTTTGTTGCCTCGTTCCGCTTTTTGACTGCCCTTTGAATTCCGTTTTTGAACTCCCTTGCACGGTCTTCATGAACTACCATCCATTGACTGGTTTCGCTTCTTGTATCTTCTAACTCACAAGCAGCCTTAGCTGCCCTTTTCATGGTTTCTGCTAATTCTGCCCAAGAGGGTTCGTTTGAAAGGGAGGCCTTGCTAATGTGTTCCTAATACTCATCATGATGTTTCTTGATGCGTAGCTTCCGCCAGTCTGTTTTCTCTTGTTTTTGTACGGTTGAGTCTTTCCTTTTTTTCTCTGAAGCTCACTTTAATCATCTTGGGCCTATGATCGGACCATCTGTCTTCACGTACCACCTTCATATCTTTGATGATTAAATTTCTGTGTCTCTTAGCTAAGAAATAATCCAGCTCGTACCAATTACCTGTTCTTGGATGACACCACGTACCTCTGTTATTCTTTCTAAGATAGGTGTCCACGATGTACAGGTTATTGTTTTCCGCCCACTCGACGACTTCGTCCCCTGCTTCCGGGTTTGCTCGTAACCCGAACTTTCCCGGAGGCCTCTCTTTTCCCGTATTATCTTGCTTGCCTATTTGAGCATTGTGGTCTCCTCCGATCAGCAACATTTCGTCCTTTTTCCTACACGATATCGCTGTCTCTAGCTGTTTTCGGTATTCGTCGATTTCCACATCATTCGGCGATACTGGCTGGTAGACTGCGATCAACTTGACGTTGTTCACTGTTACCATGGCTACTCGTTCGGTCAACCATTTTTAGCTCCCTTGCTTCTTTCACTCTTGGGCCCAATGGTTTCTTAAGATAATACCGGCTCTTTTCCTATGGATTAGAACTGAGTCCTCTTCGTACCACCATACCCCCTCCTCTTTTGAGGATATTTCCGACAGCAGGACAATATCCCATTTGTTCTCCTGTACTGCTGCTAGGATATGCTGAATTCGGCCTCGTCCATCCACCTGGATTTTGCACCTCTGCAGGTTCCACGTGATTACCTTAGAGTCACGGTTGGTTCTCCTTGAGAATTTCTGGTTCACTTTGCTTCTCCACCGTTCTTTCTCTTTCTTCCTCGCTTTCCCCGTTAGGTGCTCCTTCCCTTCTTTGCTCCGGTTTGCTAGCATACGCGTCCATTTGGAACCTCTTTTTTCCACTGCGTCTTTCTTTCCATAATCAGACCCACCTACCTTTCGGTAACACTTCATCCTCTTCACCGGACATCTTTATAGCGTAATCATCATCTTTGCTCTCATTATCTTGGAAACTTGTTTTGATTTTGGTCTCCGACCAGTTTTAATAAATCTCCCTTTAACTGAGAAAATCCGCAAGAAAAACTTATTTTAATAATGATATTATTTTTAATAAAGCCTTATTTGAAAAACCTTAATTTTAATAAACAAACTTGAACATTTTACAAAAAAAAAACAAATACAAACTTAACACTGGTGTTATAAACGATGTAAGCAAAACTGATAATTTCCAAAAAAAACTTTGTAGAGGCAGCAAGGCACAATATACCCGCAGGTCGTCAAAAATTTTATAATCCGGCTATAAACAACGAAACAAAGAAGTTGGCAAAGGAGCGAGACAAACTCAAGCTAAAAGACTCATCGAATACTGAAAGACTTAATTTTTTAAAGAAAACTGCAAAGGAAAAAGACTAAAAATGGCACGGTTTCTTGCGAACGTTTAGACACCACACGTCGTCCACTAAGTTTCGGAAAGTGGTCCACTCTCTAATTAGAACAAAATAGGTAGCAGGATCATTGTCTATCTCTTTAAAAAGATGAAAATTTTCGAATGCAGGAGAAAGTGTAACGGAAAACCAAAAAGACATTTCTAAAATTAAGTTTGAACGATCCACTGTTTTTCTTGCCATGTGAAATTGAGACAGCCATTAAACTGGGCTCTGCTGACTTGGCCTCTGCACAGTGTACATCAAACCGCAAGACTGGAAAAAACATACACCAAGACTGGAAGAACTCAAAGATCGTCCCTTTACCGAAACCAAGTGAAAGTCTGACTCTTAGCTCCCTGTTACAATTGTAGGCTCGGAAGTAAAAGTTTTAGAAAGTTTAATCCACCCAACCTTATCAGAATTTCTCCCCAAAAGCAGCTCATCAGCCCGGTTTTTGACCCCTACATTAAACAACGACGGCCTTATCTAGTTTTGAATTTAAAATCAACAGTGGTTATAATCAACGGCAACCCCCTGAGCGGACTGTACCTGCCACTCTAAATCTCTAAGATTTTGACATGGTCTGCCGCCGTACTCTTTAGGGACTGCTGCATAGCACCAGTGTTCTCGAAAGCTTTCAAAAAAGATGGCTAGTTCTTGAAAGATGGCTAGCAAACTGTCTAAATGGCGGGCGAGCCAAGACTCAATTCAGGGATGCCATGTCTACATCAAGAATTGTGCGTACAGGTGTCTCTCAAGGCAAAGCTATCTCACCTTCCCTTAATTTTACGTTCGCGTTGCACTCGAATCCCCGTCTTCAGAAATTAAACTTCAGTCCTATGACTTCAACCCTTTTGTTCAATCGTGCGATCTAAAACACACCTCCACTACACTTGAGTAGCTGTATCAATAAACTACATGACTTTTTTCTCAAGTAGATTACCAAGTTTTTCTTCCACCAAAGGTTCAATTGTTTTTTTTTACCTCACACAATGAAGAACTCAACCCTGACCCCAAATTAACAATGTGCGAATCGCTTAACCAGTACCTATAATTTAACCCTAAAATTTTCGGTGTGTATTTCGACCCAGCTCTTAATTTCTCCGAACATTGCAGACAATGTACAAAAAAGCCCTGCTTATTCCTTAATATGAGAAATCACCATGAGCTATTCCATTTGTACCACCCTGACCAGCCGTAACCCCCTCCACACTGCACTACATCTTTTTAACTATTCGCCCAAATGTTATAGGCACCTACAGAAAGGAATTCCAATTGGTATTTAGTGAGGCAAACAAATCCAACTTTATAACTGATTTTAGCCAACTTAGCGTTTTTCCAATAAAGCATACTCATAGTTCAAAAAGCCATTGATGAAGCCCCCCCCCCAAAAAAAAAGTGCTCCCTCTAAGACCACCAGACGTCTCCCTCACAAAACTGATACTCCCTCGATCAACTAGACGCATCCTCCCTCAAATCAGATCCGGCTACACTCCGTACCTTCCCTTAACACTTTTTTAAAAGAGGATAGACACGAATGTCCCCATTAACTGCCTCAATGCCCAGCACCCCACACTGCACTACATCTTTTTAACTGTCCCAAAAGCCCAACTTCCCAATCCGCAATAGACTTGTGGCTCCGGGCGATAGAGGCCGCAATGATTGTCAAATTCGGTAGCAGCATGCCAGACGCGCCTCAAGTATCGGGATAAAAACAACAACAACACTTAATATACCTAATGCTGATCAATTTAATTACTATTCATAACTTTTACAATGTTGATTGAGGTTATTGCTAGATGCTCTCCACCATTCTCCCTCATAGTGAGCAAACTTGTTCTACTTGAACATGATAGGATGTAATGGCCAGTGTGATTGATTGTAGAAGAGACTGGAAATGTGTGTCTGGAGTCCCTCCCTGAGGATCTCCGCCAGACTGTTAGGGAGGACAATGAGTCGTTTGAGAAGGAATTGGCCAGCTGGAATAGCAACAGCAAACTACAGGAGTCAGTCGACTTGGCCACTCTGGACGAAGGAGGAGGAGCGAAGTACTCCACGCGCAATGCAAGCTTCGCTGTTGCAGAACGTGGTAGGTCGTCTTAACTACCACCTTTGTCTCTATTTTCCCCGTAATTTCGTCTAATGTTATCGTCTTAACCGCGAATTGGACTCGACATGGAAGCACCTTTGAAGCAGGCAAATTATTGCAACGGAACTTTAAGTTTCATGTTTTTGAGAAATGGTTCTGCCTGTTTGACGGATAGATTAAAAGACTACAAGCCATTAATTCACAAAACATATATTTTGTAAGAGTTTTGCATTGGTAACAATTCAAATTCAAATTGGGAATTGCGAGTCATTTTGTTCTGGCGTTAGATTCTATCGCCGAGCACGGCCGTGACGAACACAGCGAGTCATCTCATGCTGCAGAGAATGTGGGACTAAACCAAACGAATAAGGAATACGGCCTGGTTCCTAGTCAGACGCTTACAAGCTCTCCGAGGGACAATGCAGACGTCTCTTTGGATCAATTAAATGAAAGAGTCTGTAAGCTCATGTTCGATTTGTCGTCTATGGAAGCGAAACAACTGGTCCAGAAAGTGTCGGCTCAGTTTGATTCGAGCTTAGAAGGCAATGCCTACGCGAAAGTCTCGAAGGTAACGCTTTATATGGTTCAGGGGCAGATTTAGGGGGGGGGGGGAGGCGGACGCCCCCACCCACTCAGGGATTCGACCCCCTGCTGACCCAAAGGGTCCGTCCCTTGTACTATTTTGAGATATCCACTTTTGGTGACGTACCCTTAATCTTTTCTAGGCGCCTTGGGCGCCAATAAATACTAATTTTGAGGGGAAAGCGCGCGCGCCGAAAAACGCGTTTTTTTGGTCAAAATGATCCAAAAGTGCCTAAAAACGCGTTTTTGGCCTGTTTTCTCAAACTGTTGCCTGCGGCGCAGACATTTTGTCCAAAACGGGGTGTTTTTACTGCTTTGGGAGAGCTCGGAAAATCAATTTAGTCGGCCTAAACAAAATTTGTTTTGAAAATCCGCCGCTCCGCGAGAAAATCTTAGATCCGCCCCTGATGTGATTGCTTTGAATTTTTCCTTATTTTTGTCGCTGAATTAGCAAGCTTCGCAATAATGTGTTAGGCGTTTTCCTTATTTTTTTTGGCAGTATGAATTTTGGTTTTTTCAAGTTTTCAATCGAATTCACTTACGAAATCAAATTACTGTCTTATGAAAAAATCAAAAAACTTGAAGGAACGCGCTTGATTTTTGGTTTCAAAAACGAGCTTTGTTCATTAATTTGAAGGCTCTACTGATCAATACAAATACCCATTGGGAAAAATTCTTTAACTTGTTGTACAGCTCAAGTTTTAGTTTTAGTGGTTTGGTAATTCCTTCTGTAAAAGAAGGCACTTTACGCGCTCCAAAAATAAAGTTTTGGATGGCAAAGAAAAACTTGATTGCCAATCTGGCTAAATGTCAATGATTTAATTTTTAACCAGTAAAAATTAGGTTTATTCCCTAGCAAACCGCTTTTTAAAAAAAAAAAAAAAGAGTTCTTTCGAACTCAACTCGCACCTTTTTGTGATCAGTTTTAATTTAGAGTGCTGCTTAAGTTTTTGTTTGCGGTTCATTTCTATGCGTTTTATCCACTTTGTTATTCAGAAAACAGCTCTGCAATGGGGCGCTGCTGTGATGATGAATGACTCAAAATTCTTGAGTTCTGGAATTCGAATGTTGTGGGTGGTTTATTCTGTTTTTTGGCACCTTTTTTAAGAGTCAGTGACCGTAATTCAGACTCTTAAATAGGTCGTGATGATTTCTTTTTCGTTTTTTTTTGTCAGAGAATAAGTTTTAAAATTTGTTCACCCTTCGAAAATGGAGTTTAATTATCAAATTTTCCAGCGAAATAAAAATTTTAGCTTTTGATCCAGTTTTTTCAAATAGGGTTATTTTATTATAAACTTGTCATCCAAAAATTGTTCTAGAAGTTCAAAGAGCTTTACATCCATCTATTTTTGTCTTCAAAATTCGGAAGTTGAGTTTTTTAATAAAAAGAAGTCAGTAATTTTTTAAATTTTTTTCCTTATTTTTTTTTTAAAAAAAGAAGTCACTGTTCACTTGATTTCATTGACTGTTTTCCAACTGTCTGTTGGCTTAGTTCGTTTTTTTTCTTGTAATTTTACATGGCGCGTTTTCGCTAGTCTTTGCGATGTGCACCTTCACTACTACTTCAGAAAGTGCTAATCGGAAGATCGTCTCGAGATTTGAGGAGTTTTTAATTTTTTTATGAAATCTCATTGAAACAAGCAAGGACTATGATTTCAGTCGTGTTCTTATTTTGTTTGCTTCAGTAAAAAATCTTTTTTATACTCATGTTTTTGAGTAAATGTTTGAGTTTTGGTCGTTTCGATTTTATTAAGAGTAATGAACGTAGTGAAGTTCTTTTATAGGTCTTGCTATTTTTTTTTCAGGAAAAAGTCCTAAAATGTGGATAAAAGTAGCTATTAACTAAAGATGTGCATTCCTACATATTGATGCATTTTTGAATGCACTTAGGTATATATGCACCTTTTGAGTTCATTTGAAATTCATTTGCTGAAAGTAACGTAAATAGCACTCTCCAAATATGAACGTGGAAATTGCGCGAAAAAATGTGAACGGGTTTTAGTTTCGAAAGAGGAATTTAGTTTCCTAAATTGTTCATATCGCGGCAATCATAAATTTTTCTAGAAATTCAAACAGCTTGAAGGGCATTTTTTTTCTTTGAATTTCGAAAGTTTCATTTTTTCAACAAAGTCACTGTTTCTTAGAAATTCGAAAGTTCGATTTTTTCAACAAAGTCACTGTTTTTTTTTTGATGTTTACTTGCTTTCATTACTTTTTTCCAAGCTTCTTTTTGCTATGTTTTGTTGAATAGAACACAAATTTTTCTCTACATTAACAAAAATGCAAATGGCGCGAAAAAAATGTCTTTGATTTTTAGTTTCAGATTTTGGTTTTCATCTCGAAAAATTCAATGAAAAAGTTACCTTCATCAATTTTTCTGAAATAATGTTACTTGCTGAATTAAGTGCCAATCATAAAAGATTCTTGAGATTCTTTGGGCTTCAAGGCAAATTTTCTCAGAGTTATCAGTTTTTTGTTCGGTTTTTCTAAGCTTATTGACACTTCAGCTGTCTGTTGGGCTACATTTATTCTTGAAAATCGAAGCATGAAACATTAAAAAAATGATTTTGCTGGTTTCTTGAGTTAGTTTTGTTTTATCTTAAAGTTTTTCAAAAAGAGTCGATCAAACTAGTTGAAACTTATATAGGTTGAGATTTTTTTAAGGTTTTTTGTTTCTGATAAAGTTATAAAGTTAGTTTAGGCTCAAATTTCATTTTTTCACCGTTTGAAGTTTTATTTCTTTTCAAGCTCAATTTGTTTCATTTGTTAAAGAGAAGGTAAATTGAACTATCGAATCGGGAAGTATAAAGGTCACGAAGGTAGAATTTAATTATCAGATTTCTCGGCAAAATAAGTATTTTATTTAATGAATTTTTCTCATAAGCCTATTTTTATCCAATAGTTTTCACTAATAAATTGTTCTAGAAGTTCAAAAGTTTTTAAGGCCATCTTTTTTTCGAAGTTTGAAATTCTTCGATTTTTTTTCCGTTTGCCTGCGTTGATTGATTCTTCTCCAATTTCTGTTGACTATGTTATGATACATGAAAACTATTTCGGTGATTTTGACCTCTTAGTGTTTTTTGTAGTTTCTGTTTATTTGGCTACCTCTTATTACCTTTTTGTTTAGAATTGTGAGTTCAGGTCAAAGGTAATAGGCTTCCGATCCATGTAGCTTTCCATATGTTGATTTTGTCAATTTACTGGAACTTTTTAAGAGTTGATCAACGTAGATCAGATTCTTAGATAGGTTGCGATGATGTTTTTTCGTTTTTTTTCTCAGAAAAAGTCCAAAATTTTGTTCAGCCGCAAATTTACTTTTGCGCGGTTTGACTTTTGATTTATTCAAAAGTTTGGAACAGCGAGCGTCATCGACTTCTAATTTCGAAAATAGAATTTAATTATCGGATTTTCTATCGAAATAAATATTTTTCTATTGATGCAGTTTTCTCCAATTGAGTTAATTTTATCAAAAACATTTCAATCATAAATTTTTCAAGAACTTCAAAGAGCTCTTCTAATGCCATCTATTTTTTTCACGGAAAATCGAAAGTTGAGGTTTTCAAAAAAAAACAAATCAGTGTTTTTTCTGTTTACTTGCGTTCATTGACTCTTCCAACTGTTTGTTGGCTATTTTAACTGTTTAGTTGTTGACATTGCTGAAGAAAGAGATGGACGAGAGGCTGAATAGAGCAGATGAAGACGGAGATGCAGAGTGCCCGACAGTAAAGGGTGCTGTTAGCCGACTGAGACACATAGCCTACTTGGCCATCTCGCTCTCCCTAAACTCACTGGTCATTAACAGATGCAATCTGGAGACACTGACTTACATGTGAGGGAAATTAGTAAATTACAATGATCACCCTGTGAGGGAAATTAGTAAATTACAATGATTACCCTAAGTCTCGGTCGAGATGTTCCCGTAAGAAATGTGGAGGAAAACACAACAAAATGAACCAAAGATCCGAACAAAATTATGTTAAAAAAATACTTTGTTGCTTAATTGACCATGTGAGTAAAAGTGTGGTATTAACACAGCTACTGGCTACTCTTGTTAAGTGTTTTTGTACGAAGTTTTAATGCGTGGTTTTGTTTGAAAAAGAATTGTTTAAATTCTTTGGCGCCCAATTTTGTTGTGTTATCGATGTGGTTTTTCACATCAAAATTCCTTTACTAGCTGGAACAGACTTTTTTCTGATTAACAACTTGTCTTGCAGTATCAGTGAATCATTTGCTAGCCAGAAAATTTTCAAATTCATATACTGATTCTGCGCATTCGGTTACTCGGTCCTAAAAGGGTGCCGTGTTGTTGTACCTTATGATGAGTTTTTGTTGGGGAGGGGGATGGGTCGACCGCTCTTAATTCCCTAAATTGTGCTACGAAATTGTCTGGATGATCATGGTCATGTCGTTGTTCCAGCGATAGGAGCTGTTTGAGTGACGATACGGTTGCCCTGCAGAATGCGGCCACTCGCTTTCTGGAGAAATGGACCTGGCCCCCGGATGCAGAGGCATATGTGCAATATTGTCAACTGCACAGGGACTTCTTCCAACTGTTCCGGGCGGCCAGTCGCTTCTCAGACGCCTTCCTCCACTTTCAAGAGGGACGTCACAGAGCAGCCATGCCACAGTTCATCAATGCGCTAGAGATCAACTCACAAGGTATGTACATTCTCTGTTTCCTGGCCCAAGACATTCACAGACCAAATCCCATTTTAGAATATAGGTTCTCACTTTTTGGCTACTCATATTTTCAACTCCTTTTGTTTCTACCCACTCTGAGACAATCCCTATCCGTCACTGTGACTGTACGTCCCTTTGCTCAATAAGGTTATAGCATAGTTTTTGCGGGAATGTGAAAAAAATTTAATGGGTCAGAGTGAAAAGAGACTGTAGTTCCTTGATGTTCTTATTTTCTACCTTCCAAAAGCTGTTCTATAGCGGCATGCTAATTTCTGAGGTAATTTAGTTAAGATATTTTTATGCCCACCATGGCTACGTGTGTATGTGTTGCAGGCGAGTATGACCCTGGAAAGAGACTAGATGCTGAACTGCTGTGCTACTTCCGAAGAGTCTGTTTTATTGTAAGTTCACAGCCAAATTTGCAAACTTGAAAAAAGGCAGCTTTACATGGAAGGGAGCGTAAAGGAGGAAGGCTTGAAATTAAGCTTAGTTAAGCCTTAGCCATTAAGTAAAACCAAGTTAACATCAAACAGTACAAAAGCGGCTTGTTTAGAAAGTGTTTTTCACAGATTGGTCGTTGATTGGCTGTAGATATATGATACAGTTTTAAAGCAAACATTGCTTTTTTGACAATTGGCTCAATGATTCTCGGAAGTTTTCATTGCCGCTTCGTCCAATCACGACCAAATGCGCTTTAGAAGAATAATTTACTCGACCCTACACGTTTCCTTGTTGTAACGGGTACGGTAAAGAGCTTGAAGAAGTTCTTCTTACGTGAATAATCAGTTCAGTTACACTGGCTGCTTTTTAACTTTTGTTCTGTCATCTGCCCTAGACAAGTTAATAGTGTTGGTTATTTAGAACTTGAACCAGGAAGCTCTAGATCAATTCCAGAGTGAAGACTTAAGTGAACAGATGGAGGGATTGCGTCTCGCTCAGGAGTTTGTGATTCCAGTGGCCGGGTCACTGTGCAAATCAGCAGTCATCTCCTCCGCCGCCGGGAACTCCCAAGAGACAAGTACATCTCAAAATGTAGTTGAAAATCTACAAGCTGTGGAATACGTACGAGCTCAGTGGTTCAGTCTTTTGGCCAACGAAATTGCCCCTTCGCTTGTAGAGAAATTTCAAGATGTGCTCTCAAAACTGACCGATGAAAGTTCCTTGACAGATCTAGCTTTCCAAGTGGACTACTCGATTTTGAACAAGTTTGACACCGATTTGGAACGGAGAAGTGTCGAGCAAATAGTAAAAACTGTTTCAGAAGCAGTCGCTTACAAGAGCTCTAGAAGTGACACAATTATGGAAGTCCAATAGTTTTAATTTTTAATCCAAAAATGGATTTGAGAATCAAATTTGATGCTGTTGTAATTTTTCTTTTGATGCTTAGCTTTTGTATTTTTACTTGTCAATATAATTGTGAATAATTAAATGTCAATAATTAAAAGTCATTTTCCACTTAATAAAGTTGATTTTTACCTTATTAAGTTGGTGTTTTCCTTTTTCCAGATAGTTCGACTGACAATTTGTTCACGCTCATATTCCTGCTTTTTTGTTTTTTGTTCCGACTACTGAAAGTCGGGAGAAACTTTGTCTTCGGGTGTGTTTTTTTTCTGCTTTTTGTTTTCCATGCAAAATCAGGTATTACAAATAATTGTCGAAAGGAAGCGAGTCATATATCATATAATGGCCATTGCAGTCGGGACTTGAACGCTTTTTAAAAGTTCATAAAATCTTTGCAGTGTAGAGAAAACTCGTTAAACAATTATTGATTTTTGGTCTAATTTTGTTTAAATAAAGCGAGCTTAGTACTGCATTTGGCTCAAGAGTGTGGTATTGCTGGTGCGAGTTTTTGACAGTATTTTGTTAAATCAGCTACCACAAACAATCAGTGGAGAGATTCGAGTGATAAATCAGATTAAAGCCCTTTCAGTCGTGATTCGAACGACATTAAAAAATGTTGAGAACATTTTACCAGCGTGGAGAAAAAACCGGTTTGTGATCTTTTGTCTCATTTCAAGCGAATATTACGAGCGATCAGGCGTACAATAGCTTATTTTAATGGCTTAAAAGCTGACAAAAGCTCAATTTAAGCCGTAAAACCTAATTTTAATCGAATTAAGCTTAGTTATTTTGCGCCTTTTTGGAATCAACAACTTAATTTAAAAAAAAAACTGTTTTTCTAGTCGTTTTTTCCAGAAAAATTGTTTTCCAATTTGCTTATTTTACTATGACTTTTGATTATACTTGAGCTCTGTTTTTTCATCCAGATCCTTTTATCACCCCACGCTGAAAAACGACCTTAATTTGAAAAAAAAATTTGTTGCATTTTTTAAGACTATGGTCGGAACATTCTGTGCTACTTGCACAGTAACCGGCTATCCTTGTATATTTTAGTATTTTTTAAAGTTGATTTTCTGTAGAGCCATGTTTCAATTTTCAGAGTCAATGATTGTAGTGAAGTATCTTGTATAGTTCGTGATGATTTTTTGTTCTTTTGCAGGAAAAGTCTATAAGTTTGTTCCCGATCAATTTTGATGTTTTGCGGTTTGACTTTTGATTTTTTTAAGTTCAATTTTTTCCTTTGTTTAATCGATCACTGTCAATCAGCAAAAGTGTGAGGGTTGCGAAAACTTAGAAAGAGTTTTAGTTTCGAAAGAGGATTTCAATTTTCAGATTTCTCGGCGGAATAAAATTTGTACCTATTGATCCAGTTTTCAAGTAGAAATTTAAAATGTAATTTAATTTCTCAAGTGGATTAAAAATTTTGAATTTCATTTGTATGATGTATTGAAAATTAAAATACAAAAATCCAAGATTGAGAGGTTTTTATAGATAGTGTACCCTATAAATCCAGTTTAATTAAGAGTAATGAACGTAGTGTAGTGAAGACTCTTATATAAGTCTTGCTAATTTTTTTTTCAGGAAGTCTTAAAAGTCTCTAATAACTACAGATCTGCATTCATACATACTGATGCATTCATGAATGCACTTAGGTATATATGCACTTTTTGAGTTCAATTGAATTTCATATGCTGAAGGTGACGTAAATAGCACTCTCCAAATACGAACGTGAAATTGGCGCAAAAAAAAACGTGAACGATTTCTAGTTTCGAAAGTGGAATTTAATTTTAAGATTTCTAGCGGAATAAAACTTTACCTATTGATCCAGTTTTCTCTAGTTGGTTTCATGTTATTGAAAAAGCGACAATTATAAATTGTTCTAGAAATTCAAAAGAGCTTAAATGGCATCTATTTTTTTCTTTGAAATTCGAAAGTTTCGAAATTTTTTCATGTGTTTTTAAGTTTACTTGCGTTAATCATCTTTTCCAATCTTCGATTGGCTATGTTTAAAATGATTCAGTGTCATCAAGTTCAGTGTCGTCAGTTTTTGTGAAATACGGTCTAATGATCGGAAAATTGCTGGCCGGTTTTTCTCGACGCTTGGAATCCGAATCACTGTTGAAAAAGTTAATATGATATTGTAATTGACCAGTTGAAAATAGTCAGAATCGGGCAAAGAAAACTCCATCCTGCGCTATGTTTCCTTTCCAGTCACTTCGTGAAATGGTCAACAATTATCTTTATTTCAGAAACACATTTTTTGATCATTTGGATATCTCAACAATCAATGATAAAATGTTAAAAGGTGGGACTGGAAACTCTTCTAATCTTAGATTTGTGCCGACAAACAAATGTGTCGACAAAATTTAAGTTACAGGTATATGTATGCGGAATCCACTGAAATTTTGTTTGTGGAATCCACTTGCATTTTGGAACATATTTTAAGACTTGTCTCTGGAATCCAGGAACATACAGACACAAAATTGTGCTCCTATCCAGTGCACAGTTTGGCCTCGTAATGTGAGATTTTTTGAAACCGTGCCAGAAGCTGAGCCTTTTTCATCAGATAAGTCACAAGTACTGCTCGTAGTGATATCAAACTCTTATCAAAGGCCGTTAACTTGGTCTTTTGTAGCCTAGACGTGTCAACCTTACGCCAAAATTGCCCCCAAACAAAATGACAAACCAAACTGTACAATCTATTGTCTTGGCGTTTCACCGTCGACTTCAAAAAGGACGTTTCCGAAACTGATTTTGGCTTTGGTTGATCTATAAACATTTACATAAAAGCAGCAATTTGCTGAGCTATTCAACTTAAACTTAGCCAAAAGTAAAGTAGAGTTTGGACGAGCTTAGGCATGGTTCTCGGTACTATGGTAAGTACAAATGACTTGGAGTGGCTTTGTATGCATGTGAGAATCGTGATGAGAAATAGTCGAATGGCAAACAATCGCATCCAAATTTGAATGATCGACTCCAAACAAAGATTCACCAGACTACAATACAGTGCTTTGTGGTGCCATTCTGGTCCGAATTTATGAATTCTTACCCTGAATCACGTTAATATTACCTATCCAAAAGATAAAAGAGATCCTTTGTATCTTAAAATTCTCTGAAGTTTCGGATCATTTCCAAGTTCGCTACTAATCATTCGTAATTTTCTTAATAATAGCACCGGTTGTGATTAAAAATTCAGCAGTTATTCAGCCATCAGTTGCAGTTATGAATTAAAAATTATACAGTTTGAACGTAGCATGGCTTATTTCTACTATTAGAGCAATTTTGCAAAAATTTTAGTTGATTCTTCACTTAAACAAACGGTTAGTATGGTCAGTTTTTGTTGGATAAGAATGTTATAACTCGGGCTGGTGTGGAGTGGAGTTTTCCGAACGTAACATTCGTATTGCGTAACAAAATAGCGCGTTTTGGTTGTTTTGGAAGTTTTGTTGGTTGGTTTTGGTTGCGATCTTCAGATAATGTCATCCAAAAAGCAAACATCTTTGACCAATCCATATTCCGACCAACTTGATTCTTCACTTGAGCTTCTTCGCTTCATTTGAATAGCCAGTTAAGCAATCTGAATTATTCTTGAGCTCAAATGCCCGAAAACCCAGAAAACATTCATTATTCCCGCTTTTTGACGAAAATATACTTTTCGTTTTTAGTGTTTTCCTAAACGTTGGACAAAGTAACTATTCTAGATTTGTGTAAGTCTATTTATCTATTGGAAATATTGTTCCTAATCCCGCAAAACAATCATACTTCTTGAAGAGTTTATAACTCTGTGGTTTATGGTTTTCGAAATCCTCTGCAGATTCCAATTTGGTCAAGGAATTTTTGGTTTGACAATAGATCGGCAAAATTGGTCAAGCTGTTCTGCAAGAATCTAGAAGATCATATCATCACCATATTTTCTGAAAGCAGTCTTCAATTCATTTGTTTCACACCCAAAGTTGACAGTTTCTTTGTGAAAAATTACTTTTCTCATCAAAGTTATGTGATCCGAAAAATCTTTCGGTGAACCAATTCGACAATTTTTTGCTCCAGCTGAAAATTTGGACCCTTAAAGGCAATACTAGTCGCAATTCTTTCAACTACTTATTACATCGAAAAAGTAAGTACTAGTTTTGAATGATGTTATTTTTCACGATATTGTTTTTCACGATATTGAGTCTGATGCTATCATATTTTATGTCAAATCAGGAAAAGAATCGGTGTTAATTGGCTTTGATTGGCTATAATCTCACCATTAACTCAAAGTTTAAATTAGTTTCATTAATGCCATGACATCCTATTAAGTTTCAATTTAGTGGATTTTTAGTCTGTTTTAATTGAGAAAAGAACAAACTTGAAATCTTTTGGACGAAAATTTTCAAGTTTCTCCGAAAAACCTGAAAACTTTATTGAATGTCAAACGGCTACCAACTGGAAATTTCTTAAGCAATCATTTAAATTCTTAAACCAGCGCTATCTGGAAAATTTTCTTTAACCAACTGAAGTTTTGGACTTTAACCAGATGTGCAATATCGTCAAACTAAGTTTTCAAAATGATTGACAAGTTTGATTCAGTTCGGCTTTCTTAGTTTTCTGCTGGACAAATAAAAACATAGTCCTAAGTTCAATGAAATTATTATGATTAATTATCAAAACTGTTCAGATATCAAAGCAAAACCTTCACTGTTCCGAATGCCCTTGATTTGGTCTCCAATATTTTTTGGTAACGAAAATTTAGAACTATAAATTTAGGAATGTCAATATCAATTATCAAGTGTTACAATTATAAGGAAGTCTGGAAACGAAATAATATAATCAATTGAATTGACTGATTTCACTTCGGAACATTTTAGGGTGCGGGATAATAATTCAGGCTATGGTATATCGGCTTGAATAACCGATCCTTGCGTCATTTGCAAGGATGAAATTATTAAAATCTTTTGTTTCCGGGTGGGGTATAAAAAATTAAAATTTCACAAATTTTTCATGACAAAAGTTTTGTTTTCGGCTCAACGGGAGCTTACTCAAATTTTGTCAGCTTAGTTACCGCTCAACGTAGGCTTCTGAAAAGAATCTGATTCCAGACAAA